CCACAACGCCTGGCCATTTTTTGGTTGCAGCCATCATTGTTGTTTGGCGGGCGGGGCTGGGGATTCAAACCCGCCACCTTAGGTGTATGTGGCTGGCGCCTTAGCCGCTTGAGCCACAGGTGCCGAGCCTAAATGACTATCTTCTTAGGAGTTTCAAGATTCTTTCGAACTAAACTCTGTCTATAAAAAAGAAAATTTCTACCTTTGGTATTGTCCCTTTCAGTTTAGTCCTTTAACTGAGTTTACCAATGGGAAGTCACCGGAAATGCCATTCTTTAGTAAGCTTCTCTCTGCCACATAACGTTGACAAGCTGGTAGTTAAGTGGATGAAAACGGTGTAGGCATCATTACAATTTTTCATTTAAATCTATGACACTTTCCTAGTGATTCTAAAGAAGATTTATAATATAGCAACTTAATTATAATTCTACAAAGTACCACGAATTTTACTTACAGATGCAATTGTAGCATCTTTTTCAGTAAGTTCTTGTTTGTGTCTAGCCATCATCTCTTTGATCTCTAATTCTTTCATGATTTTCTCTTTTTCCAAATCAGAGTATTGTTCTTCAGCAATTGAACGAGCCAGCTGCTCAGAATCTGCTTTGGTCAAGGTGATCTCCAATTGAGCAGCCAAGGAGTCCCTACATTTTAGAGATATATCATTTTAATGTTCAATTTTCACTAAGAAGTCAAAGTTTTTATCTAATTCACGTCATCAACAAATTTTTATTTAGAGAATACCAGTCACTGTTCTAGGAGGAGAATCTATGAACAGAAGACACAGGGTCTTACCCTTACCTTTCATCCTGTAATTCCTGTTTCTTCTGCTGTAAATCTTTACAGAGTTTAGTCTTTTCTTCACATTCTTCTTTAAGTTCCCTAACTTGTGTTTTATAGAGGGTCTAAATAACAAAAAAGAATAGAAATTTATATCCTCATCACCAGGAATATTATTTCTACATTTAAAACCTATCCAGACAAAAAGGTAAACACAAATACTTTCTTAATATTCAGCCCCTGGGCAAATAGTTTAATGAGCTTTCCTATTTTTCTTGTCATCAGATGATTAACTAACAAAAGTTAATAATTAAGAATTGTGATTTAAATTGGCTATCATAGTATTATTCTTATTGAATGGCAGAGACAGGCAGGATGAAAGAGGAGGCAAGATAAAAATATTATTAATTTAGATGAGAAAATTTTGTTGGCTTAAATCAATGAAACAGAAGCAGCAGTTTCTACTTCATACTTTATTTTTCTACAGTAGCCTTTTATTTTAAATACCCATTATACTATGAATTCATAGGGAAAAGGTTCCAGCAGCTCGGGGAGGTGCCTTTCCATTGAATGTGACTAAATTTGCTATGCCTATTACGTCATGAATTCATGGGGAATAGGTTCCAGCACCCTTATTAATGTTCCATTGGTTCTCTTGGTTCTCCTGTGTGCTCTGCTGTATACCTACTATGCCTTGAATTCACAGGGAATGGGTTCCAGGAGCTCAGGCTCCTTTCCAGTGGTTCTCACAAAGTGGGCTTCTCTGGGTGGAGTAGGCTGGTGCTTCAGTTAAACCCAGATACCTTTCCCTTTGACTTCCTTCTTTCTCTGACTTTTTTCTATGTGTTTCAGGAAACTTATCTCAGTTCTTAGAGTGCTTAACACGCTCAATATGAACATTAATCCTCTTGACAAAAATCTTGCCCTTAACTTGTTTGTTTACAACAACGCCAACAGCATGCTGAGTAATATTGCAGACTCTTCCAGTTTTGCCACGGTAACATTTGTGTGGCCTGCCTTTTTGAACAGTACCCATTCCCTTGATATCTACAATATCACCTTTCTTGTAGATTCGCATATGTGTGGCCAAAGGAACGACTCCATGTTTTCTAAAAGGCCTAGAGAACATGTACTGGGGGCCTCTCCTCTTTCCTTTGTGTTTTTCATTTTGGTGAATTACTGAAAGATGGTGTCTCCGGCTGAAAATCTTTTACTTCATATTTTAAAACTGATCTTTAAAAAGTACAAATGTTAAAATTACAATTTTATTACACTTTTCTTATGAAAATACATTCTTCCTCAAAAAACAATGCTTTCAATTAAGCATCAAAGGGTATGGTATGTGCTTAGGCTTACTTTTCTACCATTCTTTTTGCCTGTTGCTCTCTTTATATGGGTTCTGTTGTATAAAATATCCCATCCAAAACTCTGTCTGGTGTTTGCCATGTGAATACAGGTATACTCTGAAGACAAGAATCATTCTCCTAGTTCTGAGTAAAAATTATAACAATATTTTTACAAATACAGCAGTTTTCAAATTAATGTGTCTAGAACTTACTGAGAAGTACTGTTCTGCTTCAAGCTGATCTTGGAGCTCTTTCATTTGTCCATCTGCATCTTGACGTTCTCTGTGAGGACATTGAATCAAAGATTTAAATAAATTATACATATTTTAAACCAGCAACTTTGGAAGTATGGTCTGGGAAATCCCTGGGAGTTTCTGATGTCCTTTCAGGAAATCCATGAGGTCAAATCACTTTCATAATAATACTAAGCATCACCCTTTTTTAACTCTCATTGTCTCACTAGTGTGTCTGGACTTTTCCTGTAGCTACGTGATATACAATGTCTAATGAAGGGTGCCAACTATATATTCTTATCTTTTAAAATTTCTGAGTTTCATTTTTGAATATGACAGATATCAAATCAAATAAACAAAAAATCTTTGGAATGCTGGCACAGTGGCTCACGCCTATAATTCTAGCTCTCTGGGAGGCGAAGGCAGGTAGATTGCTTGATTTCAGGGGTCAACACCATCCTGAACACAAGAGCCAGCTCCCATCTCCACTATAAACAGAAAACATAGCCAGGTATAGTGGCGCACGCCTATGGTCCCAGCTACTCAGGAGGCTGAGGCAAGAGGATTGCTCAAGCCCAAGAGTTTGAGGTTGCTGCAAGCTATGATAATGCTAAGGCACTCAACACAGGGCTACAGAGTGAAATTCTGTCTCAAAAAACAAACCAAAATGAAAAACAACAAAAAAAAACCTTTGGGATTTTTTAAGAGTATAAAAAGGTTCTAAGACCCAACAGTGTTATGTTAAGCCAGCAACACTGAATTATACATTCCCATACATACACTGTGATAAACCATGTATGCCAACTGAGTAGCAGAATTCAAGGAGAACCTGAAGTCTATTATCTCACGGGGAGTGAAAAAAATGATTGAGAAAAGAGGCCTGCAGGGAGATCAGGAGCCTTGGTTTCATATCTAAATCTGCTGGTGACTGCACAGGTTTATATACTTTGTAAAAATTCACTGAGCTCTACACTTATTTGTGTATTTTTTCTGTATGTATATTATTGTTCAATCAAGAAATAAAATTAAAAAGTGAGCCCAACAACCCATTTAAGAAGTTGGACTGAAATGCTATGTTAAATTATAGGCTTATTTTTAAAACACAAAATTATTGTTATTCCAGGCAAAATAAGGAGAAAAAAGCAAGATGAAGAACAATGCAACTTGTATGATATAACTAAAAAACAAATAAGCAAAACCCAAACCAAAATGTACAAAAAAACCTAACCCTATATAGTATATTTATTCAAATGTATAGGTACAGGTATAGAACAAGGTCTGGAAGGTAGCACATATACTAAAACTGGAATGATACAGAGACGATTAGCATGGCCCCTGCACAAGGACGACATGCAAATTTGTGAAGTGTTCCATATTTAAAAATAATAATAGTAATAAACTGTTATAATATGTTATCTCTACAGAGAGGAAAATCTAAATTCATGAAGGAAAACTTCTAGTGTTTTCTTTCTTTTTTCTCTCTTTTTAAATATAGATCTGAATATTTTACAATAACAAGATATTTGGATACCACTTGGGTATTTTAAAAAGAGGTATGCAGCAAGAAAGGTTCATGTCTTCACAACAGTGATGCAGACTCAGAGGGACTAAATGACTTAATCTTACTATCTTCAATTTGTATGTTCCTTAGGATACTTATCCTCATTCCATTTAACATAATCTTTTCACTTTACTTGTTTGCTCTTAAACTTCTAAGTAAAAAGGAAATATGACTCAATGTCACTTACTGCTATACATGTATTTTATTATTTTTTTTTTTGGAGACAGAGTCTCACTATGTTGTCCTTGGTAAAGTGCCTTGGTGTCATAGCTCACAGCAACCTCAAACTCTTGGGCTTAAGCTATTCTCTTGCCTCAGCCTCCCGAGGAGCTGGGACTATAGATGCCTGTCACAATGCCTGGCTATTTTTTTGTTGCAGTTGTCATTGTTGTTTAGCAGGCCTGGGCTGGGCTTGAACCCTCCAGCCTTGGTACATGTGGCCACTGCCCTACTCACTGAGCTACAGGCACTGAGCCTATTGATACATATATTAATAATGATGACAATTCATGATTCTTATTTCTCTATGAATCCAAAATGTGAGAGGTGCTAATTAATAAATACATGAACGATCAAGTGTTAAAACTGTCACTTAATGATCAGCTAAGCCTTCTGTAGCACACCCTAGATTAAGTTTAATATCAGGATCTTCTTGCAATGCCTTTGTCATTCGCTTCATTTACTAGATATTTAAATAAGAGTAGTATTTTTCAAAAAGTAACCATGTAATAGGCACATGGTCAGAAATGAATAGTACAGAACAGAAGGAATTATAATGAAAAATAGGAGCAGTCTTTAGTCTTATCCACCCACACCAATCCTACTTCCCTAGAAGAAATCCCTTCGTTTAATTTCTAGGTTTTCTTCTTTCTGTGTGTACCTCCACATCTCAGCTATTTCTTGACATAAATTTTAGGTATTACTTTCAATTCCCACATGAATTTAGCTCTCTTGCCATTCCCAACCTCTCCCTAACCCCCAATACAGTTGTATCAATGGTGTGACATAATTAAGCCTTTATTTCTTTCTATATCAACCACAACGCATAATCTTCTCAGTTTATTAGATGAGAACTCTAAGCACTCCCATCTTTTTTCTTTGTTTTTGAAATTTCATGTGAACCTGTCTAGCTGTACGTCTTTTTTCATTTAGTTGCTGGGTCTTTTCAATCTAAAGACTTTCTCCTTTATTCCTTTAATAATTTCTTCCCCTTAGTTTTTAGTTCCCTCTGGAATTCTTATTAGCTGGCTGCTACAACTCTTGGCAGAGTCTGTGTCTTATCTATTTCTTTTGCATCTTCCATATGATTTCATTTTCCTCTACATTTTTTTAAATTTCACTGTTTCTTTGAACCCTTCTAATTAATTTACATTGGCAGTAATTTTCAAACTTTAAGAGTGCTTTCCTATCTCCAGAAATTTTTAATAAATATTAATTACTAGTGGGCTTTTACAGTGCTTTTGTTGGCACAGAATTTTCAGGAGTTCTCTTCTACTCCTTGATGTTTCTTCTGGGGGCACTTTTCTCTTTCTCCAGCATAGTCTTCCTCTTTCATACTGCAAGATTTCTCAAATGCTTAGTGATACTTGGTTATTTACTTAAAAGGAAATGAGAGAAATTTCAATCTCTATGCCTGTGGGAGGGGTTTTCTCATTGACAAGCTTCAGTTTAAGATGAGCAGTTTTAAAAGCCAATATTAAGCAGAAGGATCCTTAAATGCCGGAGTGAAAAAGGCTTTTCACTCCATACTAGCTCTAATCACCCCAGAGGTTGTACCCAATTCCTTTAGAGGAAAGTACTCTCAGAGGAACCCTAGTGGTTTCTGAACATTCCAATGACCCCTATATGTTTTTTTATAAGCCTATCCTTCTCATGTTTTAGATTTTCAGGCCAGTAGGTCATGATGACCAGAATCCTAAAAATTTTAATAATTAACTACTTGACCTTTCTTTTTTTTTGAGACAGAGCCTCAAGCTGTCGCCCTGGGTAGACTGCTGTGGCATCACAGCTCATAGCAACCTCCAACTCCTGGGCTCAAGCGATTCTCCTACCTCTGCCTCCCAAGTAGCTGGGACTAAAGGCGCCCACCACAACACTCGGCTATTTTTTGGTTGCAGCTGTCATTGTTGTTTGGCGGACCCAGGCTAGATTTGAACCCACCAGCTCAGGTGTATGTGGCTGGCGCTTTAGCCACTTTAGCCACTTGAGCCACAGGTGCTGAGCCTTCGTGATCTTTCTGAGAGTTGTTTCCCGAAATGGCAGAATTTCTGCAACGCAAGGAAGGAGCTAAGACACTGAAGAGGCCAGTGCCAAGACTGGCCAAGACGTCCAAATGCCAAGACTTGCCATCCCCTACAACCTGCCCCAATGCAGAGAGCCTCTTATTAATTTCACCACGACCTGCTGGCTCCAAGGCATATAGGCCCACCTTAAAAGCCCCTACTCTTTGTTAGTTGGGGAGACAGATTTGAGGCTGAGTCTGATTCCCCGTTCTTCCCTCAAACATCACTCAGATTAAAAATTCCTTGATAATCCTCATTGTCTCAATAACTGAATCTTCATGCAGACAGAAGCTGGACATAGGCCAAAATCCCCTTGCAGTTTCCTAACGGTAGTGGGAGGTACCTGGGCTGCCAGTATTTCTACAATGGTTGTAGCAGAGTATGACCAGTCAGTTATTCCATTCAGTGTCACATTTATTCTAGTCCTCTAAAGTATTGACTTTGAATACTGAAATGGCCTTTTCTTCCTACTTTAAATATTTTCCTCCCTTACACATACTTCTCACTCCCTTCATTCCACTTCAATAGTTACGAAGCTTCTATCACTTGCTATTAAAGGACATTCTTGTCCTCGAACCCATTCTCATTCTTTGTTGTAGGTTCACACATTAAAAGAATTTCCTTACTGGAGTTTTATTAGAATCTTAGAAGAAAAAAAAAAAGAATCTTAGAAGAAGACACACATATGTTGGCCATTTTAAAAAGAAGCCTACATGGCATTTTATATTCTTTTTACCTTACATACCAATTATTAATGTACCTGTCTTACCTCCCACCATTAAACAACTTCTAATAAAATGCTAATTAGTGTTTCCAGAGTAGGAAATGTACTTGAAAAATCTTTTTATTTCCCACACATAATAGGGAAGCATTCATTCATACAACATTTACTGAAAATAACCCTATGTGCAAGACCTTAATCCAGGACTGGAGAGAACAACATATAAAGGATGCTTGCCCTGCAGTGAACTTACAACCTATTAGGTGGTTGAGATAGCAAACATGGCTGTCTTTGGGGAGAAGTGATCAGAAAAAGAGAGATTTAAAAACAATAGACCCATGTGCACTTATAGAGAAAATAAGCAGCATGTATATGCTAAGTGCCATAAATCAGACACAAACAAAGTGTTATTAGAACTGGGGAAGAAGGCAATCTAGATGATTACCTCTTGCATTAATATAAACACTATTTTTAAAACAAATACTATAAATAGCATTCATTCAAATGCTTGTGAACTATATTCCCTTAGAGCCTATGATTTATTGCTTAGGCTCCTGACTAAACCTAGGCCAATGAGTTCAATCCTAGGCCTTGGTGTGCTTTCTAAACTTAGGTTCCCATAAAGTCAAATCAGAATCTCTCCAAGTAAATGTAGCTATTGGACATACTCATGAGCTTATGGCCAGGTTTTCTATTTAATGGAAACAGTTGGCCTAAAATGACTCAGAAGAATAAAGCTGATGCACAAAAAAATAAACAGCAACAACAAAAAACAAAGATAAAATGAAAATGAATGAATGCTGTTCCAATTTCTACTCCCAATTTTGTTTTGTTTTATTTTATTTTATTTTTGAAATGGGTCTCACTCTATTACTTGGGGTAGAGTGAAGTAGTATCATCACAGCTCACTAAAACAGCAAACTCCTGGGCTCAACTGATCCTTCTGCCTCAGCCTCCTGAATAGCTGGGCCTGACTACGGGCATGAACAACCATGGCCACCTATTTTTTATAAAGATGGAGTCTTCCTCTGTTGCCCAGGCTGGTCTTAAACTCCTGGGCTCAAGGAATCCTTCCACCTAAACCTCCAGAAATGCTAGGGTTACAGTCGTGGGCCATTGTGCCTGGTCTCTATTTCCAATTTTAAAAGTTGAAATCTCTTGGAGCTTAGAGTCCAAGTTTAGTACTCTTACAAACGCCTTTACAAAATCCCTAACAAGCAAGATATCACTGCCTCCATTTTACAGGTATGATAAAAGGCTCAGAGAGCTTAAAGACTTTTGCCAAATGTTGGTAACCTAGTAACCAGGGTAACTGATACTAACACTTCAGTCTGTTTCATTCCAAAATCTCTTTTTCTTTCCACTCTATCGGACTGCCTCTAATCAAGTAATTGGGATCCAATATGACCTTGGGTCAACACTGGGAAGAAGTAATTGTACTATCAATAGAATGACTGGGACAAACTTTAACAGCACATTCACTGTATATTTTTAAAGTGTTTTAACAATATGCTTTCCATTTTCTAAGTAAATTAAGTAGAGCACTAGAATATATCCCACAGAATGATTACGAAAGGCACATGGGCAACAGACTTGAGAAGACAATCCTGAGGAAGCATCTTAAGAGCATGGAGTGAAAATCCCAGACATTTTCTTCTGCTGCAACACCAATGCACATTCTCTATCACCATATTCTAATTAGGTAGCAGTAGTAAAAAACTGTTGGGGAAACGAATACATTCTTCTTGAAGGACAAAATAGTGGCACTGACCACAGCAGTTATACAGAAAGAAAGAGAAAATAAGGTCAATAAAGT